ATCCATTATTTCATTGCCCCGTTCGTTTTCCAACCAAGCCACCGAAAGGGCTGGAGGAACTCTTCCAGGACTCCCATCCAGGACCCAAAGTGTTGGACGCGTCGCCAACCTATTCAAGGACTTCGACAAGAAGATTTCCGGCCACCTGGCGGCTTCCGCGGCCAGTGCTGATATTCTCCACGACCCGGAAGTCCTTCCCGTCCCAAGTTTTGTCCTCGATAACACCACCCTGGAAACCACGCCTATGGACATAGAGCCTAAGAGATCCACAACTGGACGGAACCCCCACGAACACGCTTCGGACAGCGGTCTGGGGTCTAGCATCAGTGGATCAAGATACGGTAAGAACTTGCAGCTACCCGTCTTGGTCTTGGACGCCCCGCATTCTAACATTGAAAAAGGCGAAGTCCGCACCCAACTCTCCAGCGTCCGTGATTCCATCAACACCTCCGTCAGCTCAACCCACTCAGCTGTCACGCGGTCCTGCTCATCTCTGGGTGCCACCGAGGGAAAGCATACGCTCGGAGAGTACGCTTGCAAGAAGATTCACGACTTGATCATCAAGCCTATCCTCGCCGAGGAATCACTGCAAGAGTTCCACCCTTTGATCAAGGATGTACCGCGACGCATAGGTGAGAAGAACATCTGCAACCTTCGTGATCTCGAGAAGACCCTCATCTTCCTGGCACCGGTAAGTCTTGTCCATTGTCGTTCTGAAAGTGCAGAAGCTTATTGCATTTTCCGCGGCATCAAGGAGCTTTCGATTTCGTCCACCTCGTACCTCCGATTCTGTGAACGGTCCATTCAACTCCTGGTTACGACAATCGGACATCTCCCTGAACGCGATCAGCGACTGCCGTCCGACCGCCCTTATACTAACGGCTACTTTCTCGACTTGATCGAACAGATTCGACGATACGCCGCAATCATGGCTGCGACCAGAGAAAAAGAAGAAAAGGGCGAACAGCTCGATGACCAGGACTATTCACGGTATGACCAAGCGGCCGGCTTTTTGTTCCGACGGAGCGCTAATCAAGCAAATCTCAGTGACGAAAAAATCACCCTTCGTGGTGGGCTCAGCCACGATGGTCATCCAATGGAGTTGGTTCGTGAAAAGAACGGCCAGATTTTGAGCATTGTGGAAGGCGCTGGCAACCACCGCAGCTTGTCCAAACGTGGACTACCTGGTGATGAGATGGATGAGGACGAAGTCACCCGCTCGATGGCCCGAAGACGGAAGTCGGAGAAACCCGGAGACGTCATCCATACCTGCCGTGATTGCAAGAAGGACTTCAAGCGCCCGTGCGATCTTACCAAGCATGAGAAGACCCATTCTCGGCCATGGAAGTGTTCTGAGCCAAAATGCAAGTATTTTGATCTTGGTTGGCCCACCGAGAAAGAGCGTGACAGGCACATGAATGACAAGCACTCGGCTGCCCCAGCCCAGTACAAGTGTCTTTATCCACCATGCACGTATGCGTCGAAGCGAGAGTCGAACTGCAAGCAGCACATGGAGAAAGCCCACGGCTGGGAGTATGTCCGCTCCAAGAACAACGGCCGCAAAAAGAGTGCGACGAGCAATGAGCGTAGCCCAGCCACCCCACTCACTCCTTTCGTTGGTACCCCTCAGTCTGTCAGTCTGAACACACCCATGACATCATTTGCTCCATCGCCACAGCTGCCTATGATGGGAGACTTTGATCATTATGGCTTTGGGACTCCAGCTTTGAGTGTTCAAGACGACTTCCGACGCGACTCTGTGACGACGAACGGTTCCCACTTTACGTACTCTTCTGGTCACTCACCCACTGAGCCCACATCTTTTGTTGACGCTGTCACCCCAGAGGATGTAGGCATCAACCACAACGATGTGCTCAACACAATGGGTGTAAATTTTAACACGGGCTATCAACAGCCCACACCAGCTTTGAGCACGGGGTTCGACTTTGAACCTCTGCCTTTTACCACAAATAGCACCATGCATCCTGGGTTTGCGCACCTTTCGCCGCTAGCCCAGCCTGATGTCACCCTTTTTTCTCCCCACATGCACATGGACGAAGGCTATGGCGACGTGGACATGGACATGAGCACCTTCAGCCGTCCAACTGAGGACTTCACCTTGTTTGATACAACGCCCGCCACCAACATGCCGCTCAATAACACTGTAAACTTCTTCCCTGATTTCAGTCAGTTGGGAGGACAGTTTGACAACCTGTACACCGAACCCACCACCACGCTGGACGACTTGATGGGCAACTACGGAGATCCGCAATAGATGACGAATTGCATTGTATACGATGAGCAGGTCTCTTGACCACCATATTTTCTTGAATTGCCTATTTCTTTCCATACAGCCCACCGTACTTTGAGCTCAAATGTTGGCGAATTTGGCATTTTTCCGCCGTTGGCGCTGACATTGGTCAGCGGAAGATATGGGATATACAGGCATGGCACATGGAATTCTTCTCTCTCTGCTATTCGAGTGGTTGAGCAACGCCGCATCAGAAAAGAAAACCCACAAAACAAACGGCCTTGGTTTGGATATGGGATTTATGGTTTTGGCGACTGAGTTCGATCTCCCCCCTTCATCTTCCTGTTTCCAGTGGAGTCTCGAGGCTGTGGTTGAGATCATCAGATAGATCTGTGACTAGTGTATGGTTGGTTGAATTGTATACAAAGGTTGTGGAGAATACAACATGTGCTGTACTGTGCTGTGCTGTGATGGGTACGAGATGGTTGTGTGAAGTTGCTTGTGTGTAAAGTCGCATGGTGGCACTTCTTCCAGAGAGCCAACTGGCAGGTTTACTACCAGGTAGATGAGTATGTACTGTACCTGTAACATCGCGGGATAGTGAGCGATGGATGACTGGGGAATCGCCACAGGTGATGTTCAGCAAACAAGCCTGAAACTGGCCATCTCAATCGCGTCGCCCGCTCCAAGCTAACCCATCTGACATGACAATGGACCCGCGTCAGGACTCAAGTGGGCTCCCCCATTGGTCTCGGCCGATAAGCGCTAGTCTCACCATGGCCCCCTGGAGACCGCGGTATCTGCACGGTCGTTTCAAGGGGATGGCTTGCGCTTAAACCCCCTCAACTCTTCGCCATGACTATGCCCATGCCGCCTTCTCGTCTTCAACCTCTCAATTCGAAGGCGGAGCATGTCACTCCCTTGACATCCTTTCTTGTCGCTCTCTCAGCATCTCATTAGGTCTCTCGTGGCCATTACAATCACTATCTAGGTTTACGCTGGTCGTGCCTGCCCTATCCATCCGATCCCTCCGCCATAACCGCGTCGTAGCAATCAGCGACATTGTTTTATTCTTGCAAAGTTTCGGGTTGTTCTTTTGGCAGAGGCTCATTGATTGCAGTATGTTGGGATTTCACCGAAGAACCAGGTCGTTGATTCCGGTCAAGGATCTGGCCAAGTACGATCAGGTGTTGGCTGTGGAGGAAAAGGAAGATGAAGAGCTGCTGGCCAGAGATGATCCATATATGCAGAGCACACTTGATATTTCAGACAGGTCGCGCTCATGGCAGTTGGTGCTCGTATTTCTCATCTTCTTTGCAGAAGCGTAAGTGCTGGCTTATCTGGAGTGGGATATCAAAAGCTGAACTGACCTGGGGCAGCATCATGGCATCAAGTCTACAACCTCAGCTCCAAATGCTCCTCTCTTCTTCCGATTACTGCGGTGACCTGTCAGCCTCCTACCTTCGAAGTATTCTGGACTGCGCATACGCTTTCGGCGGTACGACGGGTGTCTTCTGGGGTTATCTCGCCGATCGCATGGGACGGCGGCGGGTTACACTCATGGGTCTATGGGCCATGTTTGCGTGCTGCCTGAGCATGGGATTTGCGACAACCCTGGCCAGCTGTGCTCTCCTCCGCTTCTTCGCTGGCATGGTCAGCTCGACTGTGATCTGCACAAGCCTGACAATGATTGGAGATCTCAGCACATCGGCGCACCAACGGGCAAAGAACGTGGCTCGGCTACCGTTAATATCGCTTTGCGGCTCCGTTGGACCGCTGATGCAAGCCATGGTTACTGAGAGCCTGCATTCGTACGGAATGGTATGGGAGAAGTTCCCAACACTAGGATCTGAGCTCGTCTGCGGAACCATCCTGTTCGCCATTGCTCTCACGGCTAGCATCTTACTCAAGGAGACGCTACCATCCGACTCCCCATCGTCAACCGACAGCATGGACGTGGATTGCGAGAGGGCTGCCTTCTTGACACGCAACTCGGAAGACACCACCTCTACGCTCGTTGACTTTACACGCCCCGAACCCATCTCCATTGCCAACTTCCTTCAAGCTCCTTCGCTCATGGTACTCGTCTCCTCTTTCTGCCTCTTGTCCCTTCACGCCGCCACCTTCGACGTCCTCCTTCCTCACCTTGGCCACAGCAGCAGCGAATACCCTGGCTTGTTAAGGCAGGGTTAGGC